GATGATAGGCCTTGTGAGGTACCAAGGTTCTCCAGCCAACAGCCAGCTGTCAGATATTTGAGTGAATCCATCTAGCTCCTGTTGAGCTGCCAGATAACTGCATGTACATGAATGACCCCTAGTAAGACCTTCAGAATACCTATTAAGTTGATCACAGCCCAACTGCAGACCCACAAAATCATGAGCAAGTAATAACACTTGTTTTAAGACATTACATTTGGGGTGTTTTTATGCAGAGATAGAAAACTGATACACTTAGGTATCTAAGCAACAACTGCAAAAAGTTTTTTTCCAGCATGCCTATTTGTCCTGCTAATTGAAATAATTTATACAACTCAGGCAGAACCACCTCATCACATGACATAATGTAAGTAAGCAGTCATAAAGGAGCTTGGTTTAGTATTTTTAAAAAGGCCCCTTGGGCCTCAGTTTCCACACATACAGAAGAAATATATTCAACTAGATACTTTCAATGATTATTCTAGGTTCAGAGTTCTATGGTTCTAAGAAATTCAAATAGAATAAACTGATTTTTTCTACTCCTTAAGCGAAAAAGACAGAGAAACATATTTCACTTTTACTCCCCATATATCTAAGACTGAGTTAAATAACATTAACTGTTGGCTAGCTGCCTTCATATCTAGAATTTCCATTAGGTTCTTGGACAGAGAGATAGTGCAAGGCACAGCAAAACAAAACAAAACAAAACAAAACACGGGCTTTGGAGCCTGACAAACTTGGATTATAATCCTAGCTCTTCTTCCTCCCAGCTGTGTAGTCTTCATCTAACTACTTTCCCTCCAAGCCTTGAGATCCTTACCTTAAAAATACTGTGTATAACCATATACACTTGGCAATTATTTTGAGGATAAAGACATATATGTAAAAGCAGCTCGCACAACAGTAGGAGTGCAACGGAAAAAAACTTACTACAATGAATGACAAGTTATACTGTATTACAATATAGTGTATGGAATAATAATCATATATCAGAGCTGTATTACAAATTATATTTTCCCTTTTTATATTGTATTTATTTCAGATTATGTTCCTGACTTCCAGAAAGTTAAACATTCTTAATTCAATTCTGATGTTTAAACCACCATGTTAAAAACAAAAAAAGAATGTTTGATTTTATAAGCAGCTTTTGGCAGGAAAGAGCGCTTTGCAGGAAAGAGTTCTCTGCAGGAGGTGCCTTGTGTCTTGTCACTAACTTTAAACCAGGCACCGTCATGCTCTACTCACCTCTGGCCCTAGCACACCTTCCAAATCTTTTGATCGCACACTACCTTGCCTAACCTGTTCGTTCTCTCCATAGATCAAAGAAGTAGAAATGAAGAATAAGTAATTAACAGATGACCAGATCTCTTCCCTAGCTTCCCTTTCAGCAATCTCCTGAACAAACTGTGTGAACAAGATAACATCTAAAGAAAGATCACAAGAAGTCGACAAGCCTGCATGCAGTGGGGGATGGCAATGATTCTGACCCCCATCCCAATTATTAACTGAGATTACTTCCCCTTTTCCCTTTAAAACTTTCATGGCCGAGCAGAATCTTCGGCGTTGCTTTTTGGGGACATGAGTCCACCTTCTCCCCAGATTACTGGCTTTCTGATTAAAAGTAACTTTCCTTTCCACCAACAACTGCCTTTCGGGTACTGATTTTCAAGTGGTGAGCAGCCGGACCTGAGTTTAGTAACATTTTGGTGCCCAGCTCTGGACCTGACTCACTTGTATTTAACATTTGTGCAATTAACATTTTTACTTTATGCCCAGCTCTTTGTCAGTTTGCTATAAGGAATGAAAGGCCTTGCTTTTGAGAAAGTTCCTCTTTCCC